CCAGGGGCCGTGGTGCCAAATCCAGAAAGACCTGCTTTTTATTTTATTTTTTCATATATACGATTGGTTTAAGCTTTGGTCTCTACCCAGATTCTTCAGACAGTGAAGAAATGGAACTGTAAGAGCATTAAAATCCAATCTTGTTCACTAAGCAACAGAATACAGGTAACATCTTTCTTTCTGATAGGTGTCTTTATTTTTAATTTGGAAAAGAGCCACTGTTTTGCTCTCTCTAATTTGAGTCTGGAATTAAGTGTTGCCTAAACCACCTTGGAGGATTCATAAAAGGCAGATGGCTCAATTTCTTTTTCTATCAAAAAACAGCTCCTGATTAAATTTAGAACATACTCTCTAATGGAATAAACCTCCTGAAGGAATATTTATGGTCATAGCTGTTCATTTAATTATTTCTGATTCTCTTCATGCAGAAGAGAGAGTGTGTCTAAACATATTGTCTGGCTTGCTTTGTAGCCATAATTCTAAATAGCATGTGATTCTGTCTGCTTTTTACCACCAGTTAGATGGAATCTGAGTCTTGTGTTACTACTGAGGAGCTGCCACTGATATTTTATTTTAAATCAATAAGAGTTAATAGATTGGTGGGGACTCCCAGCCTAGAACCCCTTGTTCAAGAAAAACGCATCCAAATTGTAGATTAAAAGTACCCTAAACTGTTGGGCTTTTTGGAAGGTTAAAAAACCCACTGGACACAGATTACATTTGTCTCTACCTGTGAAATCCAGGTCTCGCAGCTAATCTCAGTAAAGTGGCTAAGATAATTTTTAAAATAAATTTAGATAAACTAATGTTTTAACTGAATAGTTGACTACTAAGAATATACTGTAGATTTTTTCCTGGCCAACTTAATAGTGATATACCCCCACCCTGCAAGGAATTCTGTTGAAAAAAAAATGGCCTCCACTAAAGGACAGCGGGTACTAAAGAATGTCCCTTCACGCAACAAAACATACATAAATTCAGAGAGCATGATGGCATTGCCCAAATATTCCTAAGTGGGCTTCATTTCACAAAATTATTTCCAATACTACTTTTACTATATGGTACTATTTAAATAAGACAATTGGCAAATGTGCCTTAAAAAGTCAGTTATTCTACTTTGAGACTGTATACATCAGACAGTATTAGTTCCCAAGCCAGAGTCAGCAAATTCTTGTTGTTCTTATATTCAGCTAAAGTTGGACTTCCACCATAGGTCAGGTACACATACACCAAGAGCTTCTGAGTCATGTCACTTGACCAGGCAGAAGCTTAGCTTTTCTATGCTTTTGTGAGGTTTTCTTCAGCCCATTACTGTATCAGTTAGCCGGTCCCTGAAAGCCACAGGGGTGAAGTCTACTCATTACAAAGGATAATGGAACACTAAAAAAAACCCCAAGAATTTTAGTAATTAAGGTAAAAATGAGGAAAACTTTTGCACGAGACCTGTATTCATTTTCTTTCACTGCTTTAATATCAATAAATTACCACAAGCTTAGTGGCTTAAAGAACAGTATTATCATCTTAGAGTTCTGCTGGCCAGAAGTTGAATTAATCTCAGTGGGCTTACCTTCAGAATGAAGGTACTGTCAGTGTTGGTTCCTTCTGGCAGCACCAGGGGAGAATCCATTTCCTGCCTTTTCCAGCTTCCAGAGGCTGCCTGCCTGCCTTGTCTTGTGTTCCTTTCCTCCATCTTCAAAGCCAGCAGCTTGTGGAATCTCTTAGACAAGTCTCTTCTATACTTTGTCTTCCTCTTCTATATTAGAGGACCCTTGGGATGAGACTGGACCTATCTGGAATCCAGGATAATCTTATTTTAAGGTCAGCTGATTAGCAACCTTAATTCTGTTACTTTAAACTCCCTTCTGTTTTATATCCTAACGTTCACAGGTTCTGGTGATTAGGCCATGGACATATTTGCAGGGGGAGGGGGGACACATTCTGCCAACTACAGCCCTGAATAGTTCTAAGATTATTAAGTGGCTAAAACGCGAGGTTTTGGGGACAACTGGATAAGGGCAACCATAAGGAGGGAAGGACCTTGGCATAGGAAGGTTAGTCGCTGAGATATCCCTGTGGGGAAAAACAGCCAAGAAGTTTGAGAGAAGGGTTTTTAAATATTCAACCAAGACCTTGGCCAGGCTAGACCTTCCCTGTCCCTTTCCCCCAGATTGTGAGCAAAAATCCAAAACCTTTATCTAATGGAGATAAGCTGTGTCTACTCAGAGTCAAGACATGAAGAACAACATGGAAATCACCAAAAAACTTGAAGCTTGACCCGGGGGCGGGGGGTTGGGCAGGAGTGACTGAAGCCAATGTGGTTTAATTTACAAAGGAGAGTAGCCCATCTAACTCCAGGTCAGACAAGAAGTCCACCCAAGACTGTAAACTGTTGCAAGACACAGACCTACTCATGTAAGAAACATCAGTCTGCACAGACAAGGTTAAGTTAAATTTGGGGACATAGTGACATCTTGCTACCTTAGCTACCCAACCTTTCTGGCTAGGCACCCTTTTTAAGGCACAGAAGTCAATAAACTTTCCTCTGAGCAAGTAAACCCCTTCAGTCAGTGGTGACACAGTGAATTCAAAAGTCAGATCCTATTGATTTACACTAAACAGTGGGCGGTGAAAGGCCTGACCATCATACCTTAATGAAAGGTATCACTATTGAGGACAAGACAGTGGACAATCCATCATCCTCTCTCCAGAATCACCCAAGAGATGGCTGACCATAATCCTTCCTTGTGAGCCAAAGCAGGCCCAAAGCAGTTGTGATCTCTTGATGGGATAAAAAATGATTAGAGCAGTCAGTTGGTTTCCTTTTACACCAGTGGTCTCCAGCCTTTTTGGCACCATGGACCACTTTCATGGAAGACAGTTTTTCCACAGATAGGGGTGTGGAGGAGGTGGGAATGGTGTAGGACGATTCTAGCATGTGACATTCAAGCTTACCTCCTGCTGTGTCGCCCAATTCCTAACAGGCCTGGACTGGTACCAGTCTGTGGCCCGGAGGTTGAGGACTCCTGTTGATCAAGGCAAGGAGATTCAGTCCCCTGTCAAAAGAGGTACCCCAAAGTAGCTAACTGCAATGCAGAAACTCACATTCTAGGCATTTGGATGGCCTCTTCCATTATTTATCTCAAGGCTGAATCCATGAAAGGCCAAATTCATGTATTGAAGGAACTGGACCCACCAGACTCATTGCTACTGCAGATTAGTAGGACTCCTGGCCTGGCTGATGCTTGCTGATTGGGGTCCTGGTAGGCCTGCCTAACCTCTGCCCATGTTCATCTCACAAGCATCTGCTCCTCACTCCTCACTGATGACTGGCCTGAGGAGACTTTTCCATATGTCAGGGACTGGGTTCCTGAAATGTCTTGAGGGGCTTTTGGAAGTTACTGTGAGCCACAGGGTTTTTCTTCCTCTGGAATGTTTTGGTGTCGTGATAAGCTGCCTGCAATTGCCACAGCCATCTCCACCAGCCTGATGAAGGCACCACTAATGATGGAGCAGAAAGTAGAATGTTTCCTAGATGAGCCACTGGATCAACCCTCTACATCAGGATTTCCTACCATGTGAGACTGAATCTCCTGGCTGTTTGGGCCAGCCTATCTGTAGGAGGCATTCAGGCCAAGTGATGTGAAAATGCCCCAATTGTGTATTTTGGGAAGCAAAATGCTAGGTGAATGGAGAGAAGGTGGTGACATGTCACTGGGATTACTGTACTTGGAGCTCTGTGAGGCTGACTCTACAGCTCAGGCTTGGGAACATTATCCATAGTTGATGAGGCAACTTCTGGGGTCATTCCCACAAGTCAGTGTCTCCTGGCATTGGACTCCTACCAGGTCACCTGGGATTCCTTTTTCATGAAAGAAAAGAATCTTAAACACATCCCTGGGGATTTACTGTTGATTCCTGGACTAACTTCTCAAAATGCCTTGTTCAGAATTCAGTTAAAGCAAAAACAGTAAATCCAGGTTCAGCACTGGGGTTGGAAGGTAGGCAGCTGGAAAAGACAAAATTGGTTTTGAAACCCATTTCCCAGCAACAGATCCCTCAGCCAGCCACACCTGCTTGGTGGCAATTCAAGATGCTTTAACTTGCCTGCAACTACTGGAAGATAGGAAAGGAAGGAAGATAAGAAAGGAAAACGAGCTTGTTATTTCTATTTACTACTAATTCCACCTCCTGTTTGAGACTTCTGTTCCTTCATCAGAAGACTTTTTAATCTCCAGTGAGTATTCTAGCAGGAATTCGAAGAAGGGAATATTTACAATAGTGAACACTGATGTAGGGCTTGGGATGTAAAAGTGTAACACTTTGCACTTACTGGCTGGATGATTCTGGGCAATGTTATTCATCCCTGAACCTCAGTTTTCTCATCTGTAAGATGGGGATGATAACAGCACCTATTTCATAGTTAAGAAAATTAAATATATTAATGCAAGCAAAACATGTTAATATGCTTCTGGCGTGTACTACGTACTCAACAAATGTTTTTATTTATATGAGGGGTACCCCAAAAGAAAAACGAATTATCTTTTGGAGGATGGGCCCCTTGTAGTACAGGTTTCCCCCACCATTCTCAGAACCCATCTGTATCAGTGTACCAGCCAGCATTGTTGTGAGAGGCTGCGTTTGGCCTCAGTGAATTTTTTTTTCATGATGGGTGATTTATGAGTGTACCTGCCCACACTGCACTGAGAGTTCAGCAGTTTTTGAGCAAAACGGCATGACCTCCAGTGCTCTGCCCTCCCTATTCACCCTCTCTTGCCCTGAGTGACTTTTTGTTTCCTCAGATGAAAAAGGCCCTCAAAGGGAAATGTTTTGCAGATGTGGAAGAGGTGAAACTAAAAATGGCAAGAGCACTAAAAGGCATCAAAATCAGTGAGTTCAGAAACTGTCTTGAGCAGCGGAAAAAACATCTCGATGGGTGTATTGCATCAAATAGAGAGTACTCTAAAGCTGATTTAAGTTTAAACACGTAAGAATAAATACAAAATTTTTAATATATAAATTCCAGTTTTATGGGGGTCCCCGTACATGATGTCTTCAAATGGGGATGGAAGGCTTAACACAGAAAACAGTAGCATTTAGCCACTCACATATTCTCTTGGCTCTTGAAACATGAGCTGACCCCACCCCTTTATTTTTGTAGGAGTTCAATTTCAGACAACTGTCAGAAGGCTTTCACCTGTGTACTTGAATAATAAGCAATATTGACTGGGGAGACAGGACAATAGAGTTTAATCTTCAAACTTGATTGACTTGGAAGCATTCCTGTCAATATAAAAGATCTTGTTTGGGGCAGTGGAGAAGCCAAGGCCAGTGCCCGACCTGTACTTCCAGCTCATGGCCCGGTCGTAGTCCTGCTGCAGGCTTTGCTGCAGGGTATTGGCTGCCTTCCTGTTGAGTGCCATGTTGGGCCTTCCAGTTGTGACAGGCGTGTGGCTGAATGAAGGGGGCAGATTTTTAAAGCCACCCATAAGTCTGAGGAATTTCAGTTTCTGTTCCTCCTTTTCAAAACCAGCTGTATCCCACTGACCAAACTGAGTTCCCTGTGTTAAAGAGAAAAAAAAGGTGTTATTTTCATTTCCAAATGAGCAAGCCCTTCCCTTTCCCCAGCCCTAGTAGCACAGGGAGGATCCAGCTGATTAAGTGCTTGCTTATGTACCAGGTACTGTGCTCATGAACACGTCAGTTTTCTGTATTCTAACAAGAGCCCTATGAGGAATTACGAGGGGGGATGCCCCCCAAATAATGGTGGAGGATGGGCCTCTTGTATAACAGGCTTCCCCTGTTGTACTGCTGTGAGTGTTCTAGGAACCCACATGTATCAGTGTACCAGCTGGTGTTGTGAGAGGCTGTGTTTGGCATCAGAGAATTTTTTTTTTTTTTGAAAACCTTCAACATGCTTGCCCATTTCATGAGTGATTTACGAGTGCACCTGCCTACATCACATTGAGCGTTGAGCAGTTTTTGACCAGAAATGGCATAATCCTCCATTCCCCACCCCTCCCTATTCCCCCATTCTTGCCCTGGGCAACTGTTTTTGTTTCCCCGCATGGAAAAAAGTCTTCAAAGGGAAACATTTTGTCAATGTGGAAGAGGTGAAACAAAAAACACTAAGAGTCATAGAAATTGATGAGTTCAAAAACTGTTTTTAACAGCGGGGGGGGGGGGGGTTGGGGGGGGATGGGAGGGGGGAGACCATCTTGATAAGTGACTGAAGTTTAAACATGTAAGAATAAATACACGATTTTTTATAAATGCTGTGTTTTGGGGGTTCACCCCTTATATTGTTACTCTCATTTTACTGATAAGGAAATGGAGTTTTGCAGCTTAATAGGACACAAGCCTAATTAGTGATCCCACAATTCCACGTCAAGTCTGTCCAACACCAGACTGCACCTTTTACATGCCGAGCTGTCTGTCTGCTTTACTCCATTTCCCCTAAGTCATGGCAAATAGCATAGAACACCTCGCCTTATCTCCAACACACCTCAGCTCACCAGCTGGCCACCGTATTCATCAGCCTAAGGCTTCTGTCAGTTGCAGTGGAGGAGGGTAAGTGGCAATTTGAAATGCATTTCCCTTCCAAGAAGCACCACATTTCATAGCAGGAAGGGAGTGGAAGCCCAGAGAAGTAAAGGATCTCACAGCCAAGTTGGAGGCTAAGCCAGACCAGGAACTTAGGGTTCTGATTCCTGTCCAGAGCATTCTACCACCCATGCATGAGTCACTAATATTCAAGAAAATGCAAGAGAGCCCCTCAGAGCAGTGACCAAAGAAAAAGCCCCATTCCTTCCAGTGTGTGTGGGACAGGCAAGAAACCCAGCTTTCCAAGACTATGACTGAAGTCATGCAGACCAGGATCAAGGAAGGAAAGGAACTCAGGGAAAGTTCTTCGGTGTAGAGAACCAGCTGCCTGGCTGGGCCAGTCTATCCTGTCCCTTGTTCCTCATGCTTCAGGAATGGGGGAGGGCTCCGGATACTGAGTACATGACCTCAAAGAGTTCTGTCTCCAAACTTACTGTCCACTTCTGGGTTTCAGAGGCTTCTGTTTTGCCTGATTCTCGATCTATCTCTTCTTGCAAAGCCTTTCGCCTCACCTGAGCAATAGGGAGGAAAGAAAAAAATGAGACACGGAAGTTTTCCTTTGAGCTTAAAACTATAACAAAGATGGTGCAGAGGGACTGGAAGGTGACAGGAAAGAGCAGCTTTACTGTGCCGCAACCTGCGGCAGGCGTTTGTCTAAAGTAACCTCTAAGCGTCTCAAGGGCTGCAATCCCTTGGCCTAAAATGTGGGCAAGCCTCATTTATCTTTCTTTAGCCATTCGTTAAGGATGTATTTTAAAGAGGTAGGTCTAAGACAGTGGCGTAAGAGGATGCTGAGCCCAACCCCTCCAAAGGACACAGAGAATGTATATTTATACTTAGAGCAATTCTTCCTGAGAAACAACTGAGGGCCAACTGAAGAGCTTTTGCACGACAATCAAGAGAGAGAGAGACAAAACTGCTGGGGAATCGTGAGACCTTTCTGGGAGCTGAGGGAACTCTCCAGGACAGGAAGAAACAGTGAATGCCACTGTTTATGTTTCCCCTGCACTTGAACAGTGGGCAGGAACTCTACCCAGGAGCTCTGGTCTACTTGCAGGGCATCTGTAGTACAAACCCAGCCACTGCCGCCCCCAGAACAAGCTTCAGCATGAAAAGGAGGACGCCACAAGGAGCCCCACCACCTTGGGATTGGTCCAGCAGGTAGAGCAGGGTGCTGCCGCATGCACCAGCTGGGTGTTCTGTGCATGCAGAGCTTCTCTGCCTGCAGCGTGCAGAGCTAGCAAAACTCTGCAGTATTTGATCACAGAGCTGCCCTGCCTGGAAAAAGTACAGAACTAGTAGGGTGCTCCTGTCTGAGAACACAGGGCTTCCCTGCCCGGAGACAGTACGGAACTAGCTGAGTGCTAACAGTGTGTGCACACAGGCTGTCCTGTCCAGAGAAAGTGCAGCACTAGTAGGGTGCTGCCATGGCACACCAGAACAGCACTGCTCAGACCCAGCTTGTGCAACAGACAACTTAATCATGAGGGAGTGCTACCCAGTTCAGAAGGGCAAAGAAGCAGGCATACACTGAGGTGCCTCACCAGGAACCCATACCTTCTGGCCAGGCAGTACATCAGGCACTGCACACCCAACCCAACTAAAACCAGCCTGCCAAAACAATCCAGCACACAGTCTACACGCACAGAGGCCACTCTTCCAAGATTAGGAGGCACAGCTATTTCATCTAACTCATAAGAGTAAACACAAAGTCAAACAAAATGGGGAGGCAGAAAACATGCTCCAAATGAAGGAATGAGAAAAACTAATGAAATGGAGATAAGTAACATACCTGATAAGGAATTCAAAAAAACAGTCATAATAAGGATGTTCAACAAATTTGAGAGTAGAATAGAGGAACTCGGCACCTCAAGAAACACTTAAAAAAATTAAGAGATGAAAATACAATAATTGAAATGACTAATAGATGAGAAGGAATTGACAGCAAAATAGTTAATATTGGAGAATGGATCAGCAAACTAGCAAACCAAATAGTGGAGATAACTCAATGGGAACAGCAAAATGAAAAAAAGAATTTTAATATGCTCTAGCCAAGTAGCTCAGTTGGTTAGAGAGCCATCCTGATACACAAAGGTTGAGGGTTCAATCTCCACTAAGTGCACATAGGAGAAGCAACTGATGAATGCATAAATAAGTGGAATAACAAATTGATGTTTCTGTTTCTCTCTCTTCTTCCCACTCCCTCCTCCTTCCTTCTCTTTAAAATCAATTTTAAAAAATTTAAACAACAAAAAAAAATTTTAAAAATGAGAATAGTATAAGGGACCTCTGGGACATCAGGCACTTTAACATTCACATCTTGGGGATTACAGAAGGAGAAGACAAAAAGAAAGGGTCAGAAAACATAATCTGAAAAAACAATGGCTGAAAACTTTCCTAATCTAGGGAAGGAAAGGGACATCCAGAACCACAAAGCAGAGAGTTCCAAACAAGATGAATCCAAAGAGGCCCACACCAAGATATACTGTAATTAATGACAAAAGTTAAGGATAGAAAGACAATCTTGAAGGCAGCAAGAAGGAAACAGTAGTCACGTAAAAGGGAAACAAAAAAAGGTAATCAGATTGCCCAGCAGCAACTTTACTAAGTTGCTAGAAGGAACTAGCAGGAAATATTTAAAGTGCAGAAAGAAAGGAATTTACAACATAGAATATTACGCTGGCAGATCATCATTCAGAGCTGAAAGACAAAGAGTTTCCCAGACAAGCAAAAGCCAAAGGCATTAACCACCACTAAACCAGCTTTATAAGAAACACTAAAGGGTCGTCTTCTCTAAAGATTGTCTTTATTTACTTTTAGAGAGAGGGGAAGAGAGGGACGAAGAAAGGGAGAGAAACATCAATGTGAGAGAGAGAGATCTATCAGCTGCTTTTCATATGTGCACCAACCAGGGACCAAACCTGCAACCCAGGCATGTGCCCTGACAAGGGTTAGAACCAGTGACCTTTCCCTTGTGGGATGACACCCAATCAACTAAGCCACATTGGTCAAGGCTAAGGGGTCTTGTTTATGCAGATAAGAAAAGGCCATAACCAGAAATAATACGGGAAAGAAGGAAGACAAATATACAATAAATACAGTGAATCAACCACTTAAAAAGCAAATACAGTGAATCAACCACTTAAAAAGTAAAATTAACTACAATAGTCATTGGGTACACAAAAAGACATAAAACATCCAAAACAAAGACTGGAGGGAGGAGTAAAAGTGCAGTGCTTTTAGAATGTGTCTGCACTTAAAAGCCTGTCAGCTTTAAATTATAGCTATAGAGAGATGGGCATAGATGTATCTAACTCATGGTAGCTACAAAACAAAAACCTATAAAAATACTGAAAAAAATAAAGAGAAAGGACCCCAAACAAAACACTGACATAAACCAGAAAATTAGAGGAGATCAAGAGAAGAAAAAAATCAGAGAACAACAAAAACAACCAAAATAAACCCTGCAAAACAACAATTAACAAAATGGCAATAAGCACACATCTATAAGTAATTAAGTGTAAATGGACTAAATGCTCCAATCAAAAGACATTAGGTGGCAGAATGGATTAAAACTTTAAAAAGACTCATCTATATGCCAACTAATAGAGATTCACTTTAGATTGAAAGACACACAGACTGAATGTGGAAGTATGACAAAAGATATTCCATGCAAGTAGAGATGAAAAGAAAACTGGGATAGCAATACTCCTATCACACAAAATTGACCTATCACACAAAAAGACAGAGAATGTAAAAAAAGACAAAGGAGGACATTACATAATGATAAAGGGGTCAATCCAAGAAGAAGATATAACAATTGTAAATACCTAGGCACCCAATATAGGAGCACCTAAGTATATAAAACAAATATTAATAAAGAAATGAACAGTAATACTATAGTAGCTGTCGGGGACCTTAATAGCCTTACTTACCTCAATGGACGGATCATCCAGACAAAAATTTCATAAGGGAATAATGGCCTTAAATGCCCCATCAGGCTAGATCAACTTAATAGGCATTTATAGAACATTTAGCCCTAAAACAGCAGATTACACTTTTTCTCAAGTGCACATGGAACATTTTCCAGAATACAGCATATATTAGGCCAAAAAACAAGTCTCAATAAATTCAAGAAGACTGAAATTAAGCATATTTTCTCACCACAATAGCATGAAACCAGAAATCAAATGCATGAAGAAAACTAAAAACCACACATACATGAGGGTTAAACAACATGCTACCAAACAACCAATGGATCAAAGAGGAAGTCAAAAACTACCTTGAGACAAATGAAACGGAAAACAGAACTCTCGAAAACATATGGGATACAACAAAAGTAGGTCTAAGAGGGAAGTTAATCACCATATAGGCCTACCAAAAGAAACATGAAGGATCCCAAGTTATCTAACTTTACATCTAAGGAACTAGAAAAAGAAAAACAAAACCTAAAGTACGTAGAAGGGAAATAATAAAGATCAGAGTGAAAATAAACAGACTAAAAATTTTTTTTAAATGGAAAATATCAATGAAAGTAAGAGCTAGTTCTTTGGAAGGATAAAACTGAATAACCCCTTACAAGACTCAACAAGAAAAAGAGGGCCGAATCAAAATCAGAAATGACAGAGGAGAGATTACAAACCACACCACAAAGATAAAATAGATTATAAAGGAATACTACAAGCAATTATATGCCAACAGATTGGAGAATCTAGAAGAAACGGGTAAACTCCTATAAACAAACAGTCTTCCAAAACTAAATCAGGAAGAAACAGAACATTTGAACACACAGATTAGTAGAATCAAAATCCAATTAGCTCACTTCTAACAAAAACATCTCCTGGTTTAAAAGGCTTCACAGATGAATCCTACCAACGGTTCAAAAAAGAATTAATACCTATCCTTCTCGAACTGTCCCAAAAAACTGAAGAGGAAGTAAAGCCCAAACTCATTTTATCAGGCTAGCATTACCCCAATACCAAAACCAGACAAAGACACTACAAAAAGAAAAAGGGTAGTGGATTACAAGGCCAATACCTGTGATGAACATAGATGCAAAAATCCTCAACATGTTATTAACTAATGTCATGCCAATATATTTAATTTAAAAAGATGAATAATCCCAGAATTCAGAAAAAAAGTCACTATTTTTAATAACATCTTATTCTTTAAAAACAAATCCTCAACAAAGTATCAGCAAAACGTTAACAAGATCATACACCATGGTCAAGTGGAATTTATTCCAAGGATGCAAGGATGGTACAATTCTTGCAAATCAGTTAATGTGACGCAACAAATAAAATGAAAAATAAATATCATATGATCATATCAATAGATAAATATAAAGCATTTGGCAAAATTCAACTTTCACTTATGATAGACAATCTCAGCAAAGTGGGTAGAGAGAGAATATACCTCAGCATAATATAGGCCATATATAAGAAACCCACAGATATCATATTCAGTGAGGAAAAGCTGAAGCTTTTTCTGTAAGATAAGGAAGATGACAGGT